GGCAGCCCGGCTCCAGCGCCCAGGTGCCCGGCTGTGGGGGGGACGCGGGGGTCAGGGAGAGAGACAGAGGTCTTCCCTCCATCTTTCCCTCCGTCTTTCCATCCATCCGTCCTTTCTTGCCTCCCTCAAACCCATCCATCTGCCCCCAAACGCTCCCTTTTGCTCATCTGGCCGTGGACTTCCATCCACCTGTCTCAAAGTTTCTGCATCTCTGCATCCGTCCATCTCATCTCTACATCCATCCCTCTGCCCCTCTCTGGATCCTTCTGTCCATCTCTCCGTCCCTTCACCCATACCTACGTTCATCTCTCTCTGCATCCGTCCATCCCTTTCTGTGTCCATCCATACCTGCATCCATTCATCCATCCATCCGTTTCTCCATCCCTCCGTACATCATCCATCCATGTATCCACCCCTTCCATCCATCCCTCGTGGTTTCTCCGTCCCTTCTTTAATGGTTTCTCCACCTGTTCATCCATCCCTCCATCTATCCAGCCTTCTTCAATGGTTTCTCTGTCCGTCCTTCATTAATGGTTTCTCCGCCACCCCCGTCCCTGTCCCCATCAGGTCCCCTCACCTGGAGGTACCTCCCGTGGCGGAAGCAGCCGCAGTTCTCGATGGGGACGCAGGCGTCGCCGGCGTGGAAGAAGCCCGGGCGGCAGCGGCAGCCCTCGCGGCACCCGGGGGGGCAGGCGCCTGGGCCCCCCGCCCTGGCGCAGCTCGAGGGACAGGCCTTGACGCACAGCGCGTAGCGGCTGTGGGGGGGACACTGCAGGGCTGTGGGGACATGGAGAGGTCAGCGGTGGGTGGGGGTGTCACAGAGGGACACGTGGGAAGATGGTGGTGGAACAGAGAGGTGGAAGACGTCATGGAGAGACGTTAAGGCATGACACGGATGGATGGACAACACGTAGGGGACATCACGGATGGACACATAGGGATGTCACAGACAGATGTGTAGAAGATATGGAAGGAAGTGTAGACGTGCCACAGATGGCTGCATGCATAGAGGACATCACGGATGGACATAGAGGGATGTGACAGATGGACAGACGGATGGATGGATGGACATGCAGGGTTGTCATGGGGATGGGCGTAAGGGACGCCGTGGATGGATGCATGGCGATGTAACAGATGGACCAACATGTAGGGGGCATCTTAGAGGAATATGTGAGGATGCCACAGATGAACAAAGAGGTGGAGGATGTCATGGGTGGACACATAGGGTTGCTACAGACAGACACGTAGAGGACACCATGGAGGAAGAGAGAGGTGGAGGACCCCACAGAGGTCCCCATTAGGATCGCCCCGCCCCACCAAGGCCCCCAACTCACGGCAGAAGCTCTCGCTGCGCCAGGGCTGGAGCTGGGCACCAGCATCCTGGCAGGCAGCCGCGTAGGCGCCCAGAGCCTTGCAGAGGACCTCGCCGTCACCAGGGACCTCACAGAGCTCGCGGAGGCAGCTGTCGAAGAAGGCGCCGGGATCCACCACGCCGTGGCAGTCCTTGAAGGGACCCTTGGGTGCCCGGAGGAGGCCACAGAGCTCGGCATGGACGAAGGCCCGCTTGGGTGGCTGGCGGCACGGGGGACACGTCGGGCCGGGGCAGTTGCGGCGGCAAGTGGTGGCCGAGGGGCTCTGAGAGGCCTCCAAGAGGTGACGGATGTGGTCGCGGTGGCCGTCAAAGTTGCCGCAGAGGCCGCAGGTGCGGGTGGGGTAGGGCGGGGGCACGGAAGGGGCGA